GAAAATAAAATGAATCGATATTTGATGTAGAATGATTTAGAATAACATATCAAAATTAATATAAATGTAGTTGAGACTCTCTAAAGGAAAGAAGGAAACTGATCAGTATTTCAATTTCCTTATTTAATTGTTAATGCAATTAAAACGCTTTTCTACAGTCCCGTCACAGATAAATCGCAAACAGCACATTTCAAAAGTACAATTAAAACGTAGTTACAAGCATAATTAAAAAGTAGTTGTTATATTAGAAATTATGCAGTAAGCTGTAGCTCATTTTTAATTTCTGTTGCATCTTAAGTCTAGAATCGTTGGACTGCAACCTAAACTAGTGTAATCAAAAATGCAATACTTTTGGTTAATTATTTTAAAATCATTCAATATTTTATGAAAGTTTACCGTTGGACCCCTGTATCGTTTTAGGACAAAAAATATTAGAACAAGGAAAATTCTATGTGAATTCATTTCAAATCCACATCTTTATTAAAACCGATACTAATATGAAAATTTAACTTTGTGAAGATTCCATTCAGCCTAATATTTGCTGTTGAATATGCTAACACATTCAAAATATTATATTTGATAAATATAAACATCTGAATTTGTATACAATTATTGCATTTATTAATTATGAAAAATACTCGCTGTAAACTATATTTGAAAAAAATCAAACTCTCCCATTGTTATTAATGTGAATCAACTTACTTCATATTCCTTTCGTGAAATTCTATGCATTTTATATAATCTGATGTTGACAGGACTTACAACAGGTATCACATCTTTAAACGAATCATTTTCTTTATCCTCCAGAGCACTGAACACCAAGTGGTTTCCATCACATAAACCTTACAGCGCCTGTCTTATACATATGCAGTAGATTCAATTCCCCTGTTAAGCTCAAACATTTCCAAAATAATTCGTGATTCGGGTTTAAGAAGCGATGATATATTTGTTCAGCTGAGAGTTTCTGTCAGCATATGAAGCATCTGATATCAAAAGGGGAACGTGCAGCTGCAGTAAAAAGGATAAACTACTTTAAACAATTGTTACGGAAAGCAGGACATTTTGCCTGTTATTTAATACTAGCGTCTATAGTAATCCGTAAGTTTTAATACGCTTCACGTTTTCTATTTTGCGACATTTAGCAAGGAATACACATTTTAGTATCATTAAATTACTCCATTTTCTAAGAAAGTGACTTTTTTTTATCTGACATTTACTTAAACTAGAAATTCATGTTCCATACGGATTTTAAAGAACAGCATTTTTTTCCGAATATTAGAGGCCTGACAGCGGCCGCTCGGTGAAGTCGCTGAACAAAAGTAGTTCGGTCCGAGGGTCGAATCCCACGAACTTGCTGACTGCATGGGCGTTTTTGTGATTTTCCCCATGTGTAACATGTAATGCATGTTACACCTTAGAAATTTTCTCTTAGAAAGTCTTTCATGAAGACATTCCTCCCCTTAGGCAGATAGTCCTCAGGGCTTTGCCGTAATCACATAAATCAACCAAATGAATTTTCCACAATATTAGACTAACAACTGCTTTACTTGTCAATTTTAAATGCATAGGTAAACGTGTATTTATCCAGCTTATATTTTCCTCCCAAAATGTAGTGTTTGATGTATAAAGTTTCGATTTATTTGCACGGTCTTAATACTTCCTTTATATCAGGAAACTCATTCTTTTACAATAAGAGCTTATTCATCGAATTTCTGCAACTAGTATTCATTGTATATGTCCTACAAAGCTATTTATTTAAGTTAACGATGCTTTGGTGAAGCTTTTCTTCTACTCATTATATTTATATTAAAATGGGAAATAACGTATAATATAACATAAGGAAAGCACTTATTAACAAAATTTAGTGTGACAAAAAATTATAAATTAGGAGTTAGAGGTACCTCTATACTCCATGAATGGCCATTTCGTTTCTTTATTAGTGCTTAAAGTAGTAGCAATGGTCCGTGTAAATGTTGAAGTGCGGTAGCAGTTTATTGACGAATGGTCGAATATAACGACTCCAGATAAATTAGCAGAAATGCTAGAAGAGTATGAAAGCGTACGTGAAACCCGGAAGAAGATATATCCTGTTCATAGTTCTGAGTCACAACGGGGAAATAAAAATCATTTGAATTCAAGAGATCCGCAAAAGTATCACCAGTCTGAAGGGGAAGATAGATATGCCTCTGGCAGAAAGGAACATCTCCGGAATCAGAATGAGCGTCAATTTGATATGAGAAGACCACTTAAGTGTTATTATTGTGGATCAACCGAACACTTAAAGCCTCAATGTCCGAAAATTAAAAAGAATCTCAAAACTCCGTTTATTGTAAATAGGGTCCAGAAGATTGAAGAAGATTGTTTATCTTCGTATCTAACGATGGCTAAATTGAATGGTTTTGATCTTCCAGTTTTGAGAGATACCGGGTCATGCATTGACATAATATACAAAAAATATCTCATACCTTCGATGCTGACAGGCGAGACTGTTTGGGTAAAACACCCGTTTGAAAAGGCCCCAATTTGTTTACCCTTAGCAAACGTTACAATAGAAGGAACTTTTGGCCAGGGAACAACAAAAGCAGCGGTCATTCGAAATGAATTGGACCACGGTCATTATTTGTTAGGAAACAGAACCGCCGAAAAATTATCAGTAGATCAACACGATAAACTTTTTCTTTCAGATGAAAACAGGTACTCGAGCTCCGAGTCAATCAAAGAATGAAATCAGGAAATGTTCTCCGCGGGAGTCTGAACGTGGCGAACGCGAACCCTCAAGCGAAGTTTCTCCCCTCATTATAGAAAGGGGTGAAGTCTTGTCTCAAAAAAAAGGATGGGGAAAATTTCTCTCTGCCTGAAACGAAGGTGAACGAACTGTCACTGCGTACAATAAAATGTTCTTTTGTAGCAGAGCTACAAAAGAAAAGTGACGTTGTAAAACCATTTTTTACTTAGTCGCGTTAAACGATCACAGTAACTCTTTGGGAAATGTGTACAAGTTAAGAATTTCCTTTTCGGTTCGGCACGAACAAGAAACTGTAGATATGACAAATGATTTTTCGTACTTACCAGACTCCCAAGGTTTGCAAATGCCTAAAATTCCGTAGGAGAATTACCCCAGACATCGAGTAGTGTAAATTTACCAAGCAGAGAAGAAGATTCCCCAGTTCATCATTTTTCTATACTAGTGACTGATCCTGAAGACTGAAAGGGGATTAAATATAGCTACTCCATTAATGCTGTAAATCCAACTTGTAATGAAGCAATATTTTCTGATGTTAAGCCAAATTAAATGTACATGTTTATTTTGAGATCAAATGTAGCCGTGCTCATCCAGGTGTTGGGTTACCATTGAGAGATTACCAGAAACGGGAAATTAAAAATAGGCAAACTTTCTCATTTCACCCTGGCTAGATATATAATTAATATTAAACTTAGGAATGTATATTGTATATTACATTTTACAGAAAGTTATACGTTCTTTATTTGTATGTGTATAATCAAGTTTAGTTCTCAGTATTATGTTGATTATATGTTTTTTTGACTGGCCTCAATATAGTTCTTGTTATGTTTATCCTTGTTACTTAGCCCAGAGTTTTGAAAGAAAAGTATTAGTGCTAAAAATTATTAGTTAGTTTTATTATTAAGACTTGCTGTGGTAAGGTACGAGGAATTTGAGTTCTGAAAACCCCCCGGGGAGGGTAGGAGTTGTGACGTTCAGACATATACACCCTCGGACTTCCAGGTGCTTAATAAGAACTTTCTGTTTTGTTCAGAAACAAAATGGACAGCAGAACCTTGAAGAAAGGTGCAGCGGAAATACCTGGGGTGGTTCCGGACATAAGGGACTAATTAAGTTTCTTTTCCAGGTTGTAACAAAACGAACAGAGGGCTTCGTGTAAAAGTTTTTTGATGCTATAAACGAGTGAAACCAGACCCATTTTAGCGTCGTTGCCGCGTCAGCGGCCTTTTTACGAATTATGGTTGAAATGATTCAATTATTTTAATATTTATTCAAGAATTTCTTATTAAGTTTTCAAAATAAATATTTTAAAAGACAACCTGTCTTTTCTTGCACCCAACACGGGTGTTCTGACGTTACACTACACTTAAAATTATAAAACGTTGAAAACAACGCAATCCATAGCGTACAGAAAGCCAATCCGATCAACAACAATAACAACATCTAGCTAAACAACAACTTAGCTGAGATGTTCTCTTTCTGTGCTTTTTGTAGCTTTTTAAATCGGTTGCGCCAGATATTTCGATCAATTTCTGCAAAGTAAAAGGAATAGAATTACGGTTTTATAGCTAATATAGTGGTCAGTTACATTTATTAAATTTAAATATAAATTACCGAGATATCAATTTATTCAATGTTAATGCACGTGCTCCTGAATTTTTAATTTTTCCGGCGTAGTTTTCTCTTAATATTTGTCACGCGCTGCACTGCAAGGGGGAAATAAAACAATTGTAATTATAATTCTACCAAAAATGTCTGACTAAATGCAAAATTCGTAACACTTTTCCCTTCCCAAGGACTGTATGTCCCGAGCAGTACAATCCCTGGACATGAAGGCACACTAACAAGTAAAGCATCTGTTGCTTATAGGTTCGAAAAACTCAGCCGACACTTTTAAAAAAACACCAACATTTATTTTTCACGCCATTTTTTATTCTACAAAATTATAAATACAACTAACTATCAAACAGAAAAGCAGACGTAGACGTAATGATGCATCTGGGCACGTGATCCTCGTAACAGACGAATTCTTTAGGGTTGCCAAAGAAAAGGTAGTGTGTCGCCACATTTCTCCCACCTTTTGAGTGGATGACTACACACTCAAAAGATAAAACTTACATCAATATAAATGAGGGTTATATAACAAAGAAAATTACTTAATACTTAAATCATATTACTTGAAAACAAAATTAATACTGATGAATAATACAACAATAATAGCACAACAAAATAAATCATAATAACTCAAAGACATGAATTACATTATTCGTGATTTTACAACTCTACCACTACTAGTGGTGAAAGGAAGTTGCTGATTTTGAGTATTAGCTATTCTATTATCCAGTTCCAATCTAAACAATCTCTGTATAGGTCTCAAGAACTCGGAATTATTACTTTTTACAAGAGCAACTCTTATGTTGCCATCTCGACCAGGGATCACTCGAATAACGCGTGCTAAATTCCAATATGCACGGTTTTTATTTTGATCCTCCAGGAAGACAATTTCTCCTAAAGAGAGAGGTTTATTTTTGTAATTTCTGGTGGGCTGCTGTCTTAACTGCCCTAGACACTCAGAGAGAAATCTCACTCTTAACAATTCTCTCATTCTCTGCAGAAACTTCGCTCTTCTACTCAATTTTTCTTTGTCTACATTGTCAATATCAGGTACACACGACTGTGGAGTTTCAAGCAGAAATTTTTTCGGAGTTAAAGGCAAGGGATCTTCAATATCATCAGACACGTACGTAAGTTGTCTTGAGTTGACAATTCTTTCACAATCACACAAGAAGGTGAGTAACTTTTCATAACCAAGAGAAGTACGACCTAAAATTTTTCTTAATATTTGTTTTACAATTTGTATTAAACGCTCCCACCATCCACCCACCAAGCGGCGGTTGAAGGATTAAATTTCCATTGTATTTTCTTTTCAGCAGCCTTAGAGCAGAGGCAGTCCCAGTCAATGGTTTGCAGAACTCTCTCTGCACCTACAAAATTTGTCCCATTATCGGAATATATGGTGGTAGGGCCTCCATGACGCGCGATAAAACCCTTAAAGCCTGAAAATTGATTTAGTTGTTAATGAGGTAACCAGTTCTATATGGATAGCACGATAAACCGCACAGGTGAAGAGCACAATATACGATTTTCGTCCATCCTTTAAATGCAAGGGTCCTGCAAGATCACATCCTACGATTTCAAAAATGGGAATCACGAACCCTATCATTTGGTTAAAACGCCTGGGACTCTTTTACCTCTGCCTTAAATCTCTGACATGTTACACATTTCTTATACAGTTCTTATAGTTTACGTGATTTTAAGATACCAGTATCTTTCTCTCAAATGCGACATTAACAATGTAGTACCTGCATGCAACAACTCATTGTGAGCACTCAATATCAATAATTTGACTACTGGATGCTCAGAAGGTAATATAATGGGGAACTTAAAGCTGCTAGAGCCGTCACGATAAGCAAGCATTAGACCTAGCTTTTATTAGACCCTGACTATCGACAAATGGTCTGAGTAGTCTTAGCTTAACATCTGTTTCACCATTAAACGACTGTTTTTGTATTAATAGCATAAAGCTATTTCTCCCCTTTCTATTTCAGATACAGTCAAATCCTTAGAATGGTTCTTATTATTACGTACATTATTATAAAATCTGAATATCCATGATAAATCTTACGTATTTCTGAATTAACTAAATCCTCATCTGATTCATCATTAGATTTAGGCCAATTTGCCTCATGTTCCCGTAACCAATCAGGTCCCTCCCATCATTTTGTTCTATTAATTGATCTGATAACAACCTCTAGAAAGTAGATCAGCAGGATGAGACTACCAGGAATGTCGCCGGCATGGGGGAGGTCAAAGACTATTGGTACAGGATAAAACATTCCCAAATGATTGCCGTACCACAATCATTCCTGCCATGATCCCCATATTGAGATCGTCTACATTTGTATACATTGCGACATCACGCTGCACCTGGGTGGTTTCTTACGGGTGGTCATGCTTTTCTGAAGATTGCAACTAAGGGTAGAAATCTTAAACAAACACGTGGACTCAGTTAGTTGAGCTCACGAGTTTATTTTTCTTGCTCTCTCGTTACTTTTCACGAGAAAAATAATACGGTTTTTTTCAAAGCACAAAAAAGTTATTTAGGAACAATTATTTTTGTTGTACTGAATTTCCCTTGATCATTGGTAAGTAATTAATGTATTTATATATTATTTGTCTTCATACTGTAATTTGGATGGGTACCATGAACCTAGATATATCGATCCCCATTTGGGAATCATGGCTGATACTGACTAAAATTGTAAAAAAAAAACTGTTTTTCTTTTTCTTTCAAGAAATGTCGCGTAAAAGATATCTTTCTTTAAAAGAAATAGAAGATATTGTAAATTCTGATGATTTTTTTCCATCTGACGATGACGACGATAATAGCCCCATAGATATTGTGGAAATTCCACCAGAGCGGGTTGATGAGATTTCAAATAATGAGGGCATTGGATGACAACGTAATTGATGATGAAGAACCACTTGATGTTCCCGGGTGTGTTGAAATTCACCGTGTGGCAGGATTTGAGGAAAATGTTTTAGTGAATGCAACTGAATCTTCAGCAAATGAAGTAACAAAAGGTACCGGCTTTCCACCTGCTAAAAAGAGAAAATAAGTATTGACTTCCAATTAGGAAAAAGAAGCAACCTAAGTACTCGAAACTATATGAAAATTCTGATTCTGACGTTATAGAGACAAGGCGAAATGATGTCATTAGAAAACTCAGGGGAAAATCCCCGGTAGAGTGTTTTGAAATACTTTTTGATAATGAAACTGTCACCTATATTGTCCAGCAGTCTGTAATATACGCCAGACAGAAAAACAATCATCAATTTCAGCTTTCTAATAACTGCCTAAAAATTTATTGGAATACTTCTTTTCACTGGCTATCATTCACTTCCGCAAGAACAATTATATTGGTGTGAAGATGAAGACATGAACATTCTGTGTGTTAGAGCATGCATGAGTCGGAATAGGTATCTGGAAATTAAACGGTACCTACATATCAGTGACAAACTCCGATTTAGAAAGGATTCCACTAGGTGAACGTGATAACCTCTTCAAGATTCGCCCATTGATTGACAAGCTGAATGACAAATTTCAACAATTTGGGGTGTTCTCTGAAAGTTTGAGCATTGACGAACAAATGGTTCATTACTATGGACATCACTACCTAAAACAATTTATACATGGTAAGCCAGTGTGGTTTGGGTTCAAACAATGGGCTATCTGTTGTTCACAGACTGGATATTGTTATCAGACTCAAGTGTATGAAGGCAAATCAAAGAAATTAGGAGATGATGAAAGCATCAGTGGGCTTGGGACATATGTTGTCCTTCAGATGGTATCTATTATTCTTCAGACACCAAAAATGCTCATAAAGTTTACTTCGACAATTTTTTCACAGGATTTTCTCTGATGAAACATTTGCAGGACATTGACGTTAGAGCAACAGGAACTGTTCGATTCAACAGAATGAACAAATGCCCTATTGCAACAGACAAAGAGATAAGGAAAAAAGAACGCGGGGCATATGACTACAGATTTGATTCCCGTAATGAAATTTTAGCTGTCACGTGGAATGACAACAGTTGTGTGTAAGGCTTCTGTCTAATCATGAAACTATCGAACCAATATCAGAGGTGAAGCGATGGAGTAGAACAGAGAAGAAAGATATTCAAGTACCACAACCCACAACCCAAACTGATATCAGAATATAACAAATGCATGGGTGGAGTAGACAAGATGGATTGGAATGTTCAAAAGTACAGAATCAGAATAAGGGCGGAAAAATGGTATTTTCCTTTGCTTACTAATGCCATCGACGTAACACTGGTTAACCACCACGCACTGTATTGTATTTCAAATGATAAAATTCCATTGCTAGATTTTAGGAGGATGGTTGCTAGAGGAAATTTTGCTTTATCTTCAGAACTCTCAGATGCAAAAAAAGGGTGGAAGGAATTTCACTAAAGCATCAATTAATCGTGTTCCTACTGTTATCAGAACATCTGGTAATCATTACATTGAACGGACCGAAAATGGTAAATAAAGAAAATGTGCAGTGTGCAAAACAAATGCAAGAAAACAATGTGGAAAATGTAATGTTGGATTACACGTAGACTGTTTTGAACGCTGGCATTAAAAGTAGATAGTATCAGCCATGATCCCCATTTGGGTATCGGACTTAAATTTAAAATTTCTGAAAAAAAATTGACGCATTTATGAGAAAAACATGTTTTTCTTATTATTTAGGTGTAAACTAACAGAAATAAAATAAAAATTGATGAAATAAAAAATTTGGCAGTTAATGGGTTAAAGCCATCGAGGAGTCAGTCCAACAGTGTTTACGAACTTCATGTAGGCCCATATCATTAATAACTGAAGACAGTAACCTAGAACCTCATTACAAGCAAGAAGTTCTAATCGAGGAACCGTTATAGGTTTTAAAGGCGCTACTCTCGATCTTCCGTGTACCAAACTAACCTTTACTTTTTTGCCACTCTGTACTCTTAAAAATATGCATGCACTATACGCACTTTTACTACTGTCACAAAAGAGATGTATACTCACAGCTTCATTAAGAGATTTTAGACCTACCCATCTAGGTATTTGGATACTGGTCAGCAAGTACAACTTTTTACGCCAAAACCTAAACTTTTTGGGAAAGAACATCGTCCCATTTACGCCTTACATTCCAAGTTTCCTGTAAAATTAGTTTTGGAATCTACATTACAGGAGCCGTATGCCCTATAACGTCAAACACCTGATGAGCTACTGCTAAAACTAGCCTTTTAGTAACTGGGTCATCCAATTTTATATCTTGACTTATTTTGCAAGATAAGGTATCTGTAACTGTATGCCATACAAAGCCCAAAACAGACACATCTCCTTCCGTGGAGGAATCTTCCTCTGGCACAACACTTCTTATATTGGATTTCCAGAATCTTAAATTAAAATGACCCGAAGCCATAATTATTTGTGATTTCATTTACAAACTTTCTCATTTCTATTTCTGAATCCATACTAGCCACACAGTTATCTACGTAAAAGGATGTTTTCAAAATCTCCGCTGTATGACTTAAGCTTTCAGGAACTACACTCAAATGATATTGTATTGTAGCGGCCAATAAATACGGACTACACGTAATACCAAAAACTACCCTTCTATGCCGATACAGGTCAACTTGTTCTTGATTATCCCTACTGAACCATAACTCTCAAAATGTCTCTATCTTTTTCCCTTATACATATTTGCAAGAACGCTTTTTCTGTATCTGAAGTGAAACCAACATAATTCTTGCGAAACCGATTAAGAATCGAAGGTATAATTTCAATTAATTTTGGTCCAGTAGATAAACAAACGTTCAATGATGGGTAACTAGGCGAATGAGAACTTGCATTAAACACTGGTCTTATACTCGTGCTACTATTTCTTTAACAACTGCTCTATGAGGTAAATAATGTACACCCTTATATTTATTCTTATTTCGGTACTTTTTCAATTATACCGAGTGCTAACCAGTTCTCGAAAACGTCTCCGTAAGTGTCAAAATTTCTATTAGTCATTAATTTTCTTTTAGTACTTACAAGACATTTTTGTGCTGTCACTTTGTTTTCGAGTAAAAGCGAGCTATCCGACACACAAGGTAATGCTACTTCGTACCTTCCCTCTGAATTTACCATAAGAGTCTTCTCAAAATATTTTTGCGTATCCTCCTGTAACTGAGTTTTGGTTTTATTTACGGAAGGTTCAGTAATACCCAAAACATCTAATTTCCAGAGATCACTTATACATTGACCCTTCACTAACAGAGAAGAAATTAGGAGGGATGCAGTATTTATCGTAGTTGGCTCAGTGCCAGTAAATTTACCCATAACAGTCCAGCCTAACTGCGTATGCACCGCGCTGACGCCACACGTAAGGGGAATAATTTTTCCAGTTAGCAACTTACCGGCAAAATCCGCACCAATTAGCAATTTTATCTCTTTATCTACATTACATGGACCATTTTCTAAATCACTTAATTTGATACCATGTGACTTTAAGTTCGCGTAACCACGAACCAGATGGGAGTTGTTTAATTTCAGAACAAATTTTGTTTTGACCAAGTACCTCTAATTTACACTTATATTTACTATATATATTGCTTACTTCAATAACATAGTTTTTATACACATTTTCTGAAGTCTCAACTCCACCAAAAAGAAATTGCTTAATTTTTGATTCACCAGTACACTTACAATTTAACCTTTGAGCAACATCATTGCATAAATATGATTTCATAGAACCACTATCATAAATTGCTCGTACAAAAATTTCTTTAAAACCATTCTGAATTTTTACAATTAACGTTTGAAGATATACATCCGATACCTTAACATAGTTATTAAGAATGCCTGTTTTGTTTTC